AATGTGTGACAATTTTGGTCCCTGTAACGTTCCAGTAATTTAATGTAAAATATTTTATGTATTTACTTACTTATCTAAAACATAAGAAATTGTATCCAGGGCTCCAGGTGCATTTGCCATAAACTAAAAATACAAACAAACTAGTACAAACAAAACTAAACACAGCAGCCTTCCCAAGTCTAGGAAGGGGTTAAAAAGAATATCCGTCAATAATATGTGTGCTTGCAGTTACATCATTCACCCAGTAGGTGTCTGTGTGAACTGTACATTGTCCCAGAGAGGGTGTGGGGCTGGGTAAGCAACCCGGCAAGCTGGGACTCAAGCTGTGTGGAAGTCTGTCTCCCTGTGCAGTTGTGTCTGTTTTCTTTCATAAATGTCTTTGCTTTAGGAAAAAATGTGATTCCATTAGCGTGATCCCGAGCCTCAATGTACAAATCCCAGTTCTCAGTACACCCCACTTCCCCAGAAGCCTGGAAAATGAGATGGCCTTTGCAGTGTCAACGTGTCTGGGATAGTCCAGATGAAGGGAGAGAGGGAATTCCATGCACACAATCCCTTCTGGAGAACACCTGGTGACAGCTCCCGCATTTCACCTGAGGTCACTGTGACTATGTAGAGCCCAGCTAACTTGGGGCAGCCTCTGTCACTGCTGGGTCTGACCCTGTATTTGGTTCTGGGACTTCAGTGGAGTTACACTTCCTTACATATCCTGGCCTGGGAAACATCGAGTCAGACACCTCCAGCAGACTTCATCCTCCGAGAACATGAGGGAAATAGCTTCACTTGTCATGAGTAGAAAATCAGGCCCATGGTGTGGGATACTTGGTGCAAAGCTGGAAAATGAATCCTCCTTCTGCTGGTTCCAATCCGTTGCTAAGAACTAGCAAAGAGGCAGTTCCTGAGCTGCAAGGAAAACAACGACACCACCAGTGACTGGAGGAGAAACACGGCATGCTGGGAGCTTTTTGTTCATAGCCATCGTGGGGTGAGTCTGGTTCTAGGAATTCCTGATCAGGGCTATAGAGCAGCGAGAATTTCTCCCTATTCACACACAGACTCATCACAGTCCTATGTAAAGGTTTCCATCAAATCATGGCCCTGCTAGTACACCAGAGGGGCATAAGGGGGTGTAACTTAGGTATCCATGCAAGAGAGGAAGCAGATGCAGCAGAGCACAGGACAGGTAGAAGCTAAAGGTTGGGGAATGGGTGGATCATTGGCTCCACCTCCAGAATGACCCTGGCAGTGTAGCTGAGCCGATTCACCACTGGAAGTTCTCCGCATCAGTGATAGAGCTGGCGGTTTGCTCCATCCCTGAACCAAGGGGGAGAACAGAAGGGACATTGTAACTTGGGCAGTAATGATCTGCCTCCCAGGGTGCTCCAGGGGCAATGCAACAACTCCCTGCCCCTTACTCTGCTCACAGTAAAGCTATAATTGAGCCCTTGGTGTTCAAGAGAAGACAGAGAACATTTCCATGGAGTGTGTCACCCCATAGTGGGAATGTTAGATGCTCTCACCTTGTCTGTCTGGCACCATCTCCCTGTGGCTCCTCCTGTAGCGCATATTCATCCAGATCACAGCACAGACGAGGCACAGGAAGAGGAGAACCTTCAATAAGCCCAGGAGCAGGAAATAGATGATGATGGGTTGGAATCTATGCAGTGGAAATACAGTAGAAACTCTAAAGCTCTGTAAATTTGACCAAGCTCCTCCCAATAAAACATTCCGGTGCTGCTCTGAGGCTGAAGGTGTGCAGAGCTCCATTGTAGAAGATGCAACACACAAAGCCTCAGCACCCTGCCCTTATAGGGAACCATAGCACCTACTTGGGGATTCATTCATCCTGTTGTACAGTCTGATGTGACTGGACCCAGACAGTCTCTGTGCAGTGCTACTCTGCATCTAGAATTGCCATTTTCCTGTATATGAATCCAGCCTCACGGGACCTCCAGGTTCTTGCTGATAAAAGCAACATTTGTTTTTCTGTGGGACCTTATCACCAATGGGGTCACTATTCTTTGTGCCTCTGGAGATGAATCTAGCTAGGGCACCGGGAGAAGTGACCAGAGTGACATGGGACGGGGTAATGGCACTCACCATGAAGGTGAATCTGGCTGCTTTTTGGCTTGTGGTGTCCTTCCAGTCGGGTTTGGGGAAGGAACAGCTGTAGAGAAAACCAGAGATCCAGTGTACTCTACAAATCAGCCCAACCTGAGATGTTTGGTCTAAGTCTGATCATTAATGAATCTGTTGCTGTCCCAGAACCTTCACCCTTAATCCTGGCCCACATCCCAGTCCAAGCTTTTGTTTGCTGCCAGCTGTAACGTGTAGGATGGATTGC